AATCGTATCATGTTGGGAGCTTTACGCACCATCAAGAGAGTGTCAAACACACAGACATACACTTTTTGGATGAAATGGTTTTATCTGTTTAAGACTGTGAATCTATGGTGTTCACTTTATGACCAAGAAATTTATTTTGTGCAGGCGAAACCAGGACCAGAACCAGGTTCACCCCCTGGAGCCTTGCGGCCCGGACACTGTCGCCTCACAAGGCCCCAGCTGACTAGATGTGACCAACGTCAACACCTCCATCACGTACCTGTAAGAGCCCGGATGTTCCAGTCACATGACCAACATTTTTCCTCACGTTCCCGGATGTGAATAAGTGTATCCTAGGAAGCACGTCGGCAGAACGCACTGCGCCTGCGCCTGCGTTGTAGTACATTCCTTGCTTCGAAATGATATCAGATACCATGGCTGAAAACTGTTAGTAGTGTTTTGGGGATAAAAATCGATTTTGGCCTTACACATGCCGTCTTTAGTTCACAAAGCTGTGTCTGCAAATATATCGTCTGTAACGCATCTAGTCAGTAACGGGAAAAATTCTGATGCAACGTTGACCAAACATCCAACGAAAACTGTGGAAAAATCCGGGTTCCGCGCAGGCGCAGTACGATTTACCCGACATGCTCCCCGAGGACAATGGCCATGCCTGCCATTGCATGGTTGACGCAAAGTCCAGTCAAAGTCACACAATGTCAAAGTCACAGACATCGTTATAAGTGCCGCATCCCAAGTTCACGCGGCTGGAAGCATACCGACGATAATTAGTTCACATATCCAAGTAGTCTACAGAAATATTTGTAGATATGATTTGACAGTCCGTTAACATTAAAATATAATCTGTGCCACTTCTGAACAAACGATATGAAATTAATTATAATGAATGTCTTTGCTATATAAAGATGTTAAAGCACAAACAATGCCTGGGCCTGCGGGACCACCAGTTCCTGAAATGACGAAAGGTGATTCGCATCTAAGCCATACAAATCGTGTCCTTTGTAAGGGAAATCTTAAAGAGCCGTTCCAGGTTAATGATAACGGTGTAAAACATGCACGATCGAGTTTTACACTCCGGATGTTAAGGCGTAAGACCTGCCTGAAATTGACTACTGCATATAACCTGGAATGTTTCGGTGTGACACTGGAAGGGAAGGTTCCATGTTCCTCGTTGTCGTGTT